TCTTTAAACAGCGGCTGGATGGCCATCTGTCAGGGATGCTTTGATTTTTATTTCCTGCACGGCAGGAGGTTGGACTGGAAGGCCCTTGTGGTCTTTTCCAACTCTATGATTCTATGATATTCTGAAAGCCACTGTGATGTAGTGGTTTGAGAGCTGAACTAGGACTTGGGAGTTAGAATATAGATGGGTTATACAGTCAAAGGTGAAATATAGAGATGTGTGTGTGGAATTTTCCTCATGAGAACAACATCTAGAGAAACAAACTGAATCTAACACCAGATGGCCAAGAAGTCATAAACATGTACTTTCCCAAAGGTACAACTCATGGACACAGATTTTGTTATGAGAAAAGCCTTGATAACAATACATAAACATCATTAGGTCATGAGAAAATAACCACGTGGTGGATGATGGACAGCAAGAGGCTGGGTTAACATACATCATATAAACATTATCCAATTAACATAAGGTTAACACCTAGAAGGTGGAGTATGGGAAGGGCCTAGAAAATACTGAGTTTAAGAATGTTTATATTTCAAGATGTGAGCGTGCATGTGTGTGCGTGCCTGGCAGCAGTGGTTTCAACTGCAACAAGTTGGGATCCTATGCTTTTGGGATTGTTAAAGATGTAACCTTTCATGGCTGAACTGGACAAGTTCATCACAATGGATTTTACTTAGTTATTTTATTTTTCTCTTATATGCATTAATAAACTATGCTTTTGGACTTTACAATGTGTCTTCTTGACTGAGGAAGACAGGATCCTGAAGAAGGGATGCTGAGCCAGTTGATGGTAAGAGATACAAAGTGGCTGTGGATCACAGCAGCCAACTTGTCCTGGAGATTCTGCTGGGTGCCAAAGAGCATCACTGCAACACCCATCATCCACACACTGACAACTCCAGAGTTTAAATCCCTGCTCATCTCTGAAAACCCACTGGGTGATTTTAAATGAAGTCACACACACATCCTCACTCTCAGAAGAAGGGTGGTTAACAGGAGCCTCTCTTCAGATAATGGGAAGGATTATGTATTGCTGTGCATCAGTGCAAAAGTATTCTTTGTTGCGACTTAGACAGGAGTGGGGAATCGCAGGCCTGGAGACCAAATTGGTCTCTTCTGGGGTTCCAGTCTGGCCCTCTCAGTCCCCCTAGAGTGACACCCCCAATTCCTCATGACACCAGTATTTGATGATTTCCTAGCTTTTGTATCAGACCCCTTCCATTCTAAAAGCTTGACACACATCTCCTTGGGCTTAGTTACTGGCAGGAAGAACTTTAAACTAAAATAGGCTGGTCTTTTTGCTCCCACCTTTTGACCCCACCACCCCTGGAACGCAGCCCATGAGAACTCTCAAATTGAATTTGGACCCTGGGGCTAAGAGAGCTTCCCCATTCTTGGCTTAAAATAAGAAATCAAAGGGAGCAGGTACTCCAGTGCCAGAAAAGGGGAACTCACAACCTTCATCAATCAATCATATGTGCAACCACACTCCATGCTACACTTTGAGGTCATGAAGTGTGTGTGCGCGTACGTATTCAGACAGAGCCCCCTTACACTAACAACCTAAAGACAGTCTGCAGCCATTTTGTATTTCCCTCCTTAATGGATTGTGTGTATGTGCTAAGAAAAAAGCCAGAAGCAGCAGTGGAAAAACACAGGAAGATTATACATGTTTTAAATCATGTAATTGTCTTGCCTCAAATTGGGAGGGGGGGTTCCCAAGGGTCCTTTTACACTATATAGTGATAGTGCTGTGCTTCCACTTTAACTGCCATGGTTCTATCCCATGGACAGAGTATGCAGTTTAAGGGTATGTAGTTTAAGGGAGATAGGAACAAACTAAGACTTATGAATGCAACAGTACAACAGCTTGTGTGGAAAGATAAAGAAAATTACTACAAGGACCAATGCAGAGAAATAGAATAATAATATAATAATAATAAATTTTATTTAATACCCCGCCCCTCTGAGGACAATCGGGGCAGCTTACATCATAAAATTATTAGCAACAATTAAGAACAATTACCTCCAATCTTGAATTATGTCTTCTATGTTATAGAAGACAACAACAAAAAGGGAAGAACAAGAGATCTATTTCACAAGATCCGGGAAATCAAAGGAAAATTCAAACCAAGGACTGGGACAATAAAAATAACATAATTCAAGACAGGGAGGAATAAAAAGACACCAGATGCAATACACAGAAGAATTATACAAAAGATATGACAAAATGAAGGACACATGGAATGAAGAGCCATATGAAGATGAACCCCAAATTCTAAAAAATGAGATGGAAACTGCAATAAGAGAAATAGTGAAAAACAAATCACCAGGAACAGATGATATTCCAACTGGACTGCTGCAATCCATACTGACAGAGTCAACTCTAGTGCTAACCAACATACGGTATGTAAACAGATAAGGAAAACAGATATGTCAATGGCCAACAGATTGGAAGCGATCAATATACATCCCCATCTATAAAAAGGGAGACACAAGAGACTGCAGCAACTAT